ATAATATTGATTACAGATGTACAGTACAGTTTTGTCCCTATTGGGAAATGTTATACTAACATTTAAGTAATAACTAATTAAATTGGTTATTCATATCATGCGTCTTGTTTTGTTTCTGTGGTGGACAATTGAAAATAGGTTATTTTTAAGCTTGCTTGTTTAAAATGAAAACATTTTGACTGTTTAATAATAATATAAATTAAAGTGATTTATTTAAATACAATTAAAAATAATTTATCAATGTAAATATTGCATTATTAATAACAGAATTTAACAAAAGAAAAAAATACTGTAATGGATAGAAATAACAATAACAGCAAAAAATGAAACAATAAAAATTAAAAAATATACAAATACAGTAGACTGTCTTTTATCCGAAAGCTGATCAACCGAAACGTTGGTTAACCGAAAGCATTCCAGTCGGACTGTGTCATGCTGAATTGAACGTTTTTGATACTAGATAAATATAATTTTTTTGTTTTTATATTTTTCAATATATTTATTATGTTTGTACAAAATAAAGAAATAATTTTTAACGATACAATAGTCACGATTATTATTTTAAAAAGTTTACATTAGGCTTAACATCGATGAAAATTCAATGCGAAGCGACACACAATGGAGAAAAATTTCAACATGGGATAGGTTGATATATTTTTTCGTACATAATCGGTTATATAATATTGATATAATATATTGATATTGATNTAAAGAAATAATTTTTACGATACAATAGCCACGATTATTATTTTAAAAAATTTACGTTAGGCTTAACATCAACGAAAATTCAACGCAATTTGACGCGCAACAGAGAAAAATTTCAACGTGGGATAGGTTAATAAACTTTTTCATACATAATCGGTTATCCGAAAAATAAGTTATCCGAACAACCCCAGTCCACAATTGATTCGGATAAACGACGCTCTACTGTATCTAAAAATTATATACAGTTGAATCTGTCTCCCTCAAATTTCACAGAAATGAGAAAAAAATTTGAGATTAACAAGTTTTGAGATAGAGGTTCCTACACAGTAAACAGTAATGGATTTCATTGGAAATACAGTATTAATATAATAGCAAGTACAGTACATACCAGTATTAGGTACTAATAGACTTTTGACATACTTTAACAGAAATAGTTTGTCAATATTGTCAATAATTTCTGATGCCCGACTTTCTTCAACCAATAAAATGCAAGCCAAACTCGTAGCCTATCACAGAAAAGCAGCGTTAATTGCAACTATGTACTGTATTACAAGAGATTCTTCTTAGCTATAATTTATGCTATGAAAATTTAGTTGTTGAGCTTTAAATTTGTAATTGACATTTTCAGTCCCTAATTTGAGCTAGAGGTTTTGGTAGAAAATTATTTGAGATAAATATAGACAAACATTAATATATGCTAAAAACGCATGGGGACAAATAAATTTTGAGATAGAGGTTTTCAAGATAGACAGGTTCAACTGTACATGTAATGCATGAAACTTTTAACCTAAAATCAAAAGTTGTGGATCTTTTTCTACTGTGAATAAGAAATATTTAGTAATCCTGATTTTTATAACTTATAAGAACAATGAAAGGTTGACTGTCATGGAACTGTTATTTTCTTCAAGGGACAAGTGAGAAGATGCTTTTTTTTTTTTTTTTCTTTTTTTTTATTGTCCATGTGTGAGTCTGTGTACACACTAACTGGTTTCTAGTTTCTATATATTTCAGGAATGGACTGTATTTCTTGAGAATTTTTGGATATTGTGATTCAATATTAAACAGACATGCGCTATTTTAGATATTACTAGAGGTACATGTATTTTGTTAAAGACTTTCTGCTGTTTGCCTTCATCTTTATTTTAATATTCTAATTTTTATACTGAAATGATATGTTTGTAGTATTTCATTAAAATGGCATTTAATTTTTATGGAAGTGTTTTTTTGCTTTATGTCATTTAGCTGTTATATATTTGTAGCATTACCAGATTTCTATGACCTGATCAAAAGACACTCTCCAACCTATTCACCCAAAAAAAGTAAAATTGAATGAATTTTTAGTTAACTAAACATTCTGTTTTTCTATGTGGCCTAGTGATTAGATATCTGGCTTTAATTTATAAGGTCTGGGTTCAATTCCTAGTGTGGGAACATTTCTGGCTAGCCAGATGGCTGAGGTAGTTAAGACATCAGCCTATCATTCTGAGAACCCAGCATAAACTCTGAGCAGTCAAAATCCCCAGAAATTTTTCAAGGGATACCTTATACTTTGACCCACATCACCTGATCAAGGTTGCCTATGAAAGCCTTTGTCAGGCCTGACAAAGGCTTTTTTAGTGCCCAGAAGGCAGAAAGAGTAAAAAACAAAGAAAACACATTCTGTTTGTATTTTTTAGATTTTGATTTAAAAGTTATATTGTTTATAATGACTGTACAGTACATATTTGCAGATTTTGCTTTAATGTATTTAATAGAAATCCATAGCTCTCCATGGGGATGAGGATGGATTAATAAATAAGGAGAGGGAGAGATGCCTATGGAGAAATCTGCCACTGTTGTTATAAAACATCAGAGGTGCAGAATATTTTCAGAACCAAAAATTTCTTCCAAACATACACAATATCTTCCTGAAAATTACTTTCCAATAACACAGAATAAAACAATAATTTATGAATGAATTAATAATTATTACTACTTAGTTTGGAAAATTAAAATTAAATCATATAAATAATTAAATAGGCTGACTGAATAATTTGCTGCCCAACACTAAACAAAAATTAATGTAAAATTTTTTAATTAAAAGAACACTTTAATTTCAGCATGTCATCATCATAGGATAGCATATACAATTATAAACTTTGACAAAAATTTTGATTAATAGAAATAAAATTGAAGTTGCCATTGATGCCATAAATGACCTATTTTTTTGCATGGGCTGCTAATTAATAGGCTTTTCAATGTCCAAAAATACAACATTTTTTTTATGATGGCAACAGTTCTACAGTTTTTTTTTTTCTCCGTGAAAGTCAATCAACTCTAAAAGCGTTTTTGACTGACTGAGCTTTTTCATCATTAATTTGTTTTTTTAATGGAACCATAATTTTATGATGATTTAAATTTGTTTTGATTTTAATATTTTCCTTTTATAATAAATCTATGAAAAATGTGAAAAAAAGAAAAGTGGAGGAACAAGCAAATATTTTGTTTTAATTCAAACCAACACAAAATTTTACCCATTAAGAATTTTGAAATAAAAATGGATTTTCTTTTTTGGTTCTTTTTAAAACTCTTGTTATTTATTTATTTATTTTTTTAAATAAAAATCAAAACCATGGTTTGGTAAGAGAAACTGACTCATCTTTACTGCAACATAACCATGTAAGTAGGTAGTGATGTACTAAACTGATCAGAAATAGAGTAAATAAATTCCAGTTTCACTTTCAAAGCACTATCTTTGCATTTTGGCAAATTTCCCCAATTAAGGTATATAGTCTTAGTTGAGCCCATTTTATTATAATGTTTTTGCAGCTATCGTTGTAATCTTAATTTTCTGTCACAAATTTTCTCAAACCTCATGCATGATGGACATATTCTGTACCTCTACAAAATATGGGCATTGAAAAATTAAAATGAAGGACAAATTATTATCCTTTCTCTTTTCAATAAAGGACATGAAAATTTAGCTAAAGTAAAGAATTGTCCTTTGAAATAAAGAACATTTGGCAACCTTGTATATGTATCTATTAAATGTTCAGTCATTATGAATATTGAAAATTCAAAGACAGTCAAATAAAAGTTGGCTTTCTGAAATTAGCAATGATTTATGCATTTATTAACTTTATTTTTATTATTAATACATACAAATGTTGGTACTAATTTGCCAACCTAGCATTCCTGAATGTAGATTTGAATCTAAATCTAAGCCTACTGATTCTAAATGTTTATAAACTATTTAGTAATGTTTTTATGATGATTCTGTTCAGTTTCAGCAATTATTTATCATAATTAACTTTTTTTATTTAACTTTTTATTATAAAAATTTTTGGAAATGTTAAATACACATTTGAAAGCTATAGATTTAGATGATGATGATATAAGAAAGAAAAATATTATAAATAATAATTTTATAACCATTTATTTATTAACTTTTGAATTTTTATATATAGAAACATTTTTATTTAAAATTAATCATCTATTGAATTTAAAAACAGAAAGTTTAATTGAAAGTTTCTAATAGAGTTTGAATAAATGAATAAATTGCAAACATTGCTTTGCTTGATACTTAATATTCAGATTATTCAATATATGTATTTTCTCAGAAAGTGTTATTTTCTGATATATGTGTTTAATATTGTGTAATATTGTATACAATATTGAATAATATGTATTTTCTCATAGCCTAATACGCATATTAATTTTGCTATTAATGTTTGTATGTCAATAACACCAAGTACTATAGTATTTAGCATTATCATCTGTTATTTTGGTAATGATTACGACATGCTTTTTGGAAACTTCATTTAAATAAATATTTTTATTACTAGCCTGTGGGACTAGTTTTCATGAATAATCAAACAGGGCAATATTTTACATATTTACAGTTTTCTTTAACTTGATTATAAGTCCACTTGAAATAAAATTTTCTCTTTCTTGTTTTTTGATGATAGGGAATAACTTTTTATTGAGAAAAAAAGCAGTTTCACACTAAACATATTTAAAAATTAAATCATAGGATTGTTATTGTATATAAGAAATTTTTATAGTCATATTCTAAACCTAAAGCCTTTGTATGCTAAATAATGATTAAACATTTGTTAGTCAAAAGTTGTAAAAAACACACTTTATTAAAATTACTTTGTTACAATTTACATAATATTCTCTATTTGTTCTAATTGATATTAAAGATTTTGGTAATTTATTAGTAATATTGATATATTTCTTTTGTATTTTAGAAGCCATTTATAAAAAGAAAATATAATAAAATGATGATTAATCATTAAAATTAATTATTTCAGGGAATCTTTATTAGAAGCTGAAAGTTACTTAATGCAAGGAAAATGTCATCTATTTAATCAAAACTATGTTTCTGCAGTTAACAGTTTGCAGAAAGCTTGTCGATTATTTTCTCAAAAGTTTGGTGATATGTCTAGTGAATGTGGAGATGTTTATTTTTGTTATGGTAAAGCTCTCATTGAATTGGCCAGACTTGAAAATGGAACATTTGAACAAATTGATACTGGTATGTTAAAATTAATTATTTTTAATATTTTAAATGTAGAAAAGAACTTAATAAAAGTATAACAATTAAGTACAGAGTAATGAAATCAAATGTTTTGTTCTTAAATGTAACTTAATAACCATGTTAAAAAAAATTGGTGCAATACATTTTGTTAAGATCAAAGAATTCATCTACTACATTGCATTCAGCCAACTTAGCCTATTTATTTATTCTAAATAGAAGAGAAAAGGAGATTCATATTTACATTATTTTCCACAATAATAATACCTTCTTATTTAAAATTTTAACATAAATTTTGTAAAAGTTGAAAATACATACATTATTAGAAGAATATAATCACCCCTTCAGAATGGAATGACAAATGCCAAAATTGGCTAATAGTGGTACATGTCAAGATAGTGTTGATGTGATAGACAGGTTAAAATTTACATAGTAGTGTAGATGCCAGATAGACCACAGTGAAGATACTGTACTTAAACAACTTCAGCATGGCTGTATTGTGGGCCTGTCAGAAGCAGGATTGTCTGCACAGCATATCACTCATCACTGTGGACATGCCATAACCACAGTTTTGCTCTGTCTTCACCAGTGGAATGAGGAAGGATCTCACCAAAGATGACCAGGATCTTGAACCATCAGATAACATCAAAACAAGACAAACACTGGATTATCCAATAGGCTTGGCCATCAACCATGGTCACTGCAACACAGATTCAGCACATGTGATGCAATGCAAAGAATCACAAGCACTATCCATAGATGACTACACAATGCAGGACTATTGACAAGGCAACTATTTCAATGCACTGTTTACAATGCATTGAATTTGTTGCCTTGGCTATAGTTACAATGGCTTTAGTGGTGTCACGCAAGTAGACTTTCGGCATGGGAACGGAGACAAGTAACTTTCTCTAATGAATCTTGTTTCTACTTGCTGTGTGATGATGGCCATATCAGGTGCTGGAGATATACAGGTGAGCAGCTCTATTTGCCAGATGTTTATAGAAAGACAAACTACACCCTAGTGTTATGATATGGGTTGTGATCTCCTACAATAACAGATTAGTTCTAGTAATTTTCAATGTGATCTCACAGCACTCTGAAATCAGGAGATTTTGGAACTATACTTTAGGTCAGTTGTGTCCCAAAGGGATTTTGCAGCATGGTGACATAAAATATCAGACAGAATGTCAGACTAGGAGCACTAGTCTGCTGTGTGAAATCTGTTTGCAAGATATGACTCATGATACTTGAAAGGAGAAGTATGTTGTCATCTCTCTAGAACTTCTCACTGTAGCTAAGTCTGCAGTGTGACAAGTGGCTTTGCAAGCATCATGTAATTATCCGTTACATTCAACTCTTCTTGTCTTCTCACTATGTAGTGAGAAGGCAAGAAGAGTTGAATGTAACAGATAATTACATGCAAGTTGTTCTCACTATGTAGTGAGAACAACATGCATGGTCACTTGCTAACCTAACCACCAGTCTTTCCAGGCAATTTCTTTTTCAACAATGCTTTTTGTTTCACATTACCTTTCAAATCATTCTGTATCTATGAAAAAGTTTCATAAATTAAATCATTTTGTTGTAGACTATTATTTTGTTATAGACATGTTATATTTTCATTTGATACAAACACATGTTTTTAATATAACTTTTTAAATTAATTTTTAAGTATGCTTACCAAAGATTTAATTATCACATTACAATATAAACATCTACTGAAACCAGATGCCTAGCAAATTAATTACTTATAATTAATTTGCTGATTATAATTATTAAATTTAATACGAGATGGTGCCTAACGCCTTCCTCTAGTGCCAAATTTATTTGTAATTCATAATTATTATTTCCAAAATACAGCACAATTATTTACAGCAATTGTGGGTGTCTATTTGCACATTACAAAAGATTTTTTTATGATTCATATAGTTTTTTTCAAGTTCACTATTAAATATTTTATTATTTAAAATTCTAAGCTTTATATTAATGTACAAACATAAGAGACTCATTAGTTTAATTTTAGCTAGCAATATAATATTCCTATAAGGTATATTTTTATTGATCTACAACACACACACACACACATAACACATNTTATATAAAATTTATTCACAGCAAAACTTCATTAGTCCAACATTTAGCATTTGTGTTACTTTTATAATTTTGTATAAAAATTGGAAAGTTTGTGAAAAAAATATAATTTTATTTTTACGTTTGTATATATTTTTTTCTAATACACTCAATTTTGGCTATTGTGACACATTGCTGCAGACATAAAATATGGTAAAAAAAAACCTATAAAGAAAACAAGTTCCACAAACGTCAGAGAATCCATTGATCATTATTTCCTATACCAAACGTCAGAAAACTAAACCCAATTCCTCCCTTGAATTCGTTCTTAAAATACTCTGAGTTGAATATAATTTAGGCCCTATAGTATTAAAATATTTTTAATACTATAGTATTAGTATTATATTATATTAGTATAGTAATATTATATTAGTATAGTATTAGTATTATATTATATTAGTATAGTATATAGTATTAAAATATTTTAGCCCTATAGTATTAAAATTTTTACATGCTTCTTGAAGTTAATGTAATAACGAAATGGAAAATGTGAATATATAATTTAATTTATTACTAATAATTGTTGGCTAATTGGCTAATACTTACTGAATAATCATATTAAAAATGTATGAAGGATATAACGGAAGTTACCTTAAATCTGGTCTTATCAGAATTGTTTGTATTCTTAGAGAAATAAAAAAAGGAAGTTTACAATGTTCATCATACAAAATACAAACACATATCTTAAAATCATTTTAATAGACAATTTTTGTGGATTTAATTCTTATTTAAGCTTAAATAATTTATTTTTTTAAATACCTTCTTTTAATTTTATTCTAATTAGAAAAATGGGAAAAATTTACTTTAATCCAAATAAATGTATTAGGTTTTGTTGATACGAGAAGAGATGACGTTAAATACTTGTGAGAAGGAATTAAACAAAGAAGAAATAAGAGAAGTTTAGATACTGAATTATTCAAATCCCTTGACACTGCTTGATATTTCTTTCTATTTCCAAGAGACATTCGTATATACAAGTCACGAATCGGGTAGATTTTTAAACGTAAGAGAAGGATAATACGAAAGTACAAATAAACAAATAAAAGTACTTATAAACTTCACTTTCATTCTGAAAATGAATTTTTTATTATAAGAAGATATATATATTTTTTATTGTTATTCTCAAATACAGCTGTATCTGTCTGTAAAAAAAAANTATTTTAATCAATCTATAAATATATTTAGAATAATCTGCAGCAGTGAATTCACATTAATGATAAAGCTAACAGAAAAAACAGGAAGATATATTCCTTACACGCAAGTAGGCTCAAAACAGGTTGTATTACATTGATTGAACATAGAAAATCTCTTGAGATTTTCACCAGTTAATCTCCATTTATTCCAATGGTGTTTAATGCTCTTAAATTCATCTTAATTCCAATATAAGGCCTATTAACTATACTATAAAAATTCGACTTTTTTTCTAATCAGTAAAATTGCCACGATTAAAACGAATCGTGATACAATTCCGTTTAAATCTTATGTATTTATTATTTATAATTTCGTGCAAATCCTTATGATATAAATAAATTATCAATTCATTACTTTAAAATATTTCTGACGTTTAAAAAAATGTCAGAGCTTAGCTTAAAAAAAGAAGATCAAAATCTGAAATTTTCAATATAAATAACATAAAAATGCACTTTTGTTTAACTTTGCATTTTGTATTCATTTACGTTGTATGTTGATTACTATTATTATTATTTTTTTTTTATTAATGTTCAGTTATATAATTCGTGTAATAAATCATATATTTTTTAAAAAGTAAATTCTATTGAACCATGTATGTGAAATTCCTTTAAAAATAAAGTGAAAAGACGTGTTTATGAACTTAATTCCGCATTTTGTTCGCATGCAATCTGTTTCCGATTTTTTACTTGTCAGCAAAAACGAAAAAAAAAATTTTATATATGATTAATCAAACGTACGCTAATGTCGAGTACCTCCAACCAATTCAACATCAATAGATTTACATATCAATACCTTATAAACATCTAAAAAAAAAAAACTTTTCCACGTCAAAAAAGATATAGAATTATACATTTTACAAAATCCTCCCGAGTAACTGCTAACAAAGAACTCAATATATAGAGTAAATAGGTAACTTTTTTTATGGATTTAATTATAATTGGACGAGACTTAATGAACTTGTTAACTTATTAAAATTAGTTACGCTAATAATAAATATTTTAAAATATGAGTATAAACTATTAATCGCTACATTTAAACGGTTTTTTACTTCATAAATATCTAACAGCAGCGACTAACTACACGTGAAAATTTAAGCGGAACTTAACAAAGCGCTTAAGAAGTTAATAAATTTTATTTGAATTCATTAATTTAATTTTTAAGATGTAAATTAAATCAATTACCTTTCCGTAGGATAGTTGTCAGTAGACATATTTCCTGAACCAGTCTAGTTTGTCCATATAAGCATTCCCTTTGGTTACCGTGGTGATAGCGTATGGGTGGGGCATGTGCAACTGCGACTCTTTGCTTATTGTATAGGCTGTACTGTACTGATAGAATAACTTTCCGTTACTTGAAGAAGTTATACATCATATATTTTATTGCCTGTAATTAATTTACATTGATTTTTCGAAGATTTAGAATCTATTTCTACTGTATCTAAATGCAATTTAGAATATAGTTTAGTACGTATGAATATCTTAACAGTGTCTGTCAGTATATTAAAAATCATATCTCGAAGATTGTTATGGAAATTTATGTGGTTATTGCCACTTATCTTCGATCGTACTTTGTAATTAAGAACAGTCTATTTTCCTGTCCTAAACAGTTGTTGAGTCTCATGAATCGGATAGATGTATAACTTGTTATTATATTCGAAAGTTTGTTTTAATTTGATTTTCGTACGTTTTTATTTTATAATAAATAATTAATGCTATACAAATGATAAATTTAAACACTACACTATCTAAAATAAGTGTTAATTAATAGGTCTATCGGATTTTATTGAGCTGCAATTTGAAAAAAAAAAAAATTTGAAGCTCAAAAACCTGTAAATTCTCTGTCGTCCGTTTGTCTATCTGTCTCTCCTTAATCTCGATAATGGTATTAGATTGATAAAAATTAAGAAAAGATATAGAAAGATTATGAGTATAAGGCCCCGATTAACTACAGTCGACCCCCTATAACACTGTTGATAATTCCGTTTTATATGAATTCCATGTTGTACGAGTCACTTAGATTTTANCAATTAAAATATCTCTTTTTATGTCGATTATTTAGGGATTTTTTATTAATTTTCGACAAAATTCATACGTTTACTCGAATACATTTTTTAAAACTTACCTACTGTAGTTAAAAACAACTTTAGATGTATTGTATTTACATAGAAAAGTTAAATGATCTGTTTCGAACGAGTATATGTTTACATTTTGAATCTGTTCTGGTAAACGCGTTAAAAATTGAAATCGAACTACACTCGAGGAATGCGAAAAAGTCAAACCTTTCCTGTATATACTGTATATATAGGGTGTATCAGTACAGCGATTAAAAACTTTCAGGAGAGATAGAGTACACCAGGACGATAAAAAATCATAACAATGCATGGTCGAAAACGCTTTCCTGGAACTTGTTGCACGAATCGTGGCAGCTGCTGGGGAAGTCCTGGACACTCCCGGTATTTTCGACAACGTCAGATCTTCAATGGTGCAGAAGATGCGAGGCCTGAATCACGGCCCGGGGTCGTAATTTCGAACACCTTCTTTGATTTTTCCTGTACTAAGAATAATAAACATGTTTTCTCACCCTGTTCGTGTCCTTCCTTTCTTGTGTTTTGTGTCGTCATTACCGCGCCAGGAAAGCGTTTCCGACCATGCATTGTTATGTGATTTCCCATCGTCTAGGTGTACTCTATCTCTCCTGAAATTTTGTAACCGCTGTACTGATACACACCGTATATATATTATATAATCGTCATGAAGTTTATCAGCTCGGGCAACCAGAAAAAAATTCTTAGTAATTTGTGGAATTTTCCATTTCAAAATTATTAGGTGGAAGATTAGAAATGAATAATCAATCAATTTTAAATTGGTGGATTGATTATAATTTATCCACTGATGATACTGCCGTTTCATCAGCGTTGTAAATTCCAGAGATAGAAAATTTGTATTTTTCTAGCAGTTGGTCATAAAAACTGTCAACTAGTGCCTTATTAAACCCAACAGCTCGCTCAATGCTAATTGAGTCCGGAGTTCTTAGAACAATATCTGGATATGTTTTTTTAAAGCTGTAAAAATCTTTTCCTGCCATTCTCTTCTTATTAACTCGATGACGGATTTTTAGATTTTCAGCTACATCAAACGCCAATTTTGAAAGTTCCAGTCTAGTTAGTGGCATTAGACGGTTGTCTAGTTCTTTCACATGGTTACAGACTTGCATTGAATAAGTGTTCGGAAAATATGCAATCAAAACGGTTTAAGAATTATCTCTTTGCCACTGTTCATTGCTTTTACATGATCCTGGAGCGAGCTCTTTGGCATATCATATCTCTCGACTGCTCGTCTTATTTGATAAGTTTCTTTCTCTGACATATTTAATAGAGTCTTTTGTTTTATTTTCATCCCAATTATTTCTTTTAATGGTTCTGCCTTTAAATTTTGGTATTTTTGTGCTTGTTCTGTAAACAAAGATATACAGTACAGTACATTTTAATACATTCCTTAGGAGAAAGGTATTGCACGAAAACTATTTTCTATTTGATAATTTAAAACTTAGAAAAGTGTCTGGGAGTACCCGACTGCTTAAATTTTATGTTTTCATTAATAGTAATTAAATAAATACTATTGTAATCGTAAGATATGTTTAAGATCAATAACATAATCAATAAATCGAGTCGAAATACTTACGTTTTGTATGTGATATTTTCCTTTGAAGTTTGATATGAGAGGATGAAAAATTGTTAACGGGAACAAAACTTATTGTAACGTGTAACTTGCTGGGCGCTGACGTCACTACTAATTTGCATTCGCTTGTATACGTTGTGGAACAAGTTTAGACATGCTCCTTTATATTTCATATCTTCTTGATTGCTCAGTATTTCAAGTGTTCGGGGCAACTGGCACTTCCCATAATTATTTTGACATGTTTGTAAGATCGGTTAGTAAATTGTATTAGATTGGATTGATGAGTAAGGCAACGCAACAAAAGGACGATGTGACAAAGTGAGGTCCCTTCCGATAGTACTTTCTATGCAAATTGACCCCTATTTAAATGTTAGACAGATGAAGAAAACCCGGAAAACCACGTGCCTAGCCCGTCGATCTATAGGTCTACATCATCATCATTATCATCAGCTTATTCTACCATTTCCAATTATGGTATAGCATTCCTGGCATAATTGTCTTTCATTTGTGATCATACTTGCCTATTATTTGCTTCTCTCCACCATGTTATGCCTGCTTGTTTCCTTATGTCATAGTCCCATCTTAAGTTTAGACGTCCTCTGTATCTCTTGATTCCTTTACAACATCGTAATTCTCATTTGTTCACATCGTAATGTCCTGCTCATTGCTATTTGAAAGATTTAATTCTGTGGATTACATCAGTTACCTGAGTTTTCTGCTTAATCTACTCTATATAAATTGCACACCACAGTACTTTTTAGATGAGAATTTAGAATTTCTTTTTTAAAATTCTTTTTATTTCCCTTAATCTTTAGTTAATTAACTAAGAAGTATCCTATATTATTCTGTTTTAATATGCAGTTAATGTGATTTAAATAAATTAATTTGCAAAACTAAATCAAGATTTTTATTATCGTTGAAGTCATTAGAATACTAAATTAATATACAAATTAATTTAAAAAAACATTTATAATTTAATTGGTTTCAAAGATCATTGAAAATATGAGATTTGTTAAATGATTAACAAAATATCCTTAGAATTTTATTGTATATCTATTTTATATATTTAAATTTCAATCAGAATCAATCTGATAAAACAAGTTATTAATAATATAATAAATCTTGAAATCCATCAAGAATAAAAATAAAATTCAATATGATCTTGGCAGGAAAATTGAGTGATAGTTGGATGTCATGACATTAGATGAATTCTGTGCTTTATCATTGATATAACTATTTATTCCAATGAATTCCTAAACTGTCAATGTGTATGGAACGATACGACGAAAGCAGACGTCAAAGTTTATTTTTTGTCATTTAACATACTACAGATTATATAGGAATCGTCCATAAATTACTATTATATTTCTACTTTTCAACTATTATTCCATCCCTGTAACGCTCCTTAAAGCTGCCCCCAAAATTAAATAACTCATATTCTCGATCGACCTCCTAACTTGTAGTAAAGAATAATACACAGAATGGGATAAAGTATGACGTATGACGTAGAAAACAGTGACGTAAACAGTACAGTTCACTACGCAACACTTCAGAAACAAACATGAATTCTGTTACAAAGGTTTGATACTCTAGCAATACGTAATGTTTTTGTAAATCCCTACACCCTTGTAATGATTAACCACCCATCCACATCCACTTTACGTAATTTATGAATAGCACAGTACAATATAATATAATAAAATTTATTTTTAAATGTTTATTATTTACTTCTATATGGAATTGTTGGAACTATAATTAAATTTACAAGGCTAATATCATCATTCTTATTTTGATTTAAGAAAATACTTTAACTACTGAAATAAATTTAAAAATTACAATTTAACAGTTTATGTTATGTAGTTATTGTTGTATAGTTTAATAATTAAATCCACATATAATTATTACATAATTAATGTTGTAACGTTATAAAGAAAATCTAAAGTAAGAGGTAAGAATTTTATGTGTTGAAATAATCAATTAATTAATTAGTCAAGGTGAAGTATAATGTCACTTTAATACTTTAAAATAATACTTTAGATCAATAATTTCGTTTAGAATAAAAACAGAGATGGCCGAATTTTCGAAGACCGCCAAAATATCTATTTTTAATACAAAAAATGAAGTTTTTCAAGTAAATATCAATATAGTAATTAATTTTTTAATTGTTGTTTTGATAACGTAGTTAATTCTAAATTTAATTAAATAATATTTCTAGATAATTGGTCAAGGTATTCTTGAATTCGGCTGGGACAACTCGACCCAATCCATAAAACTTTCGTTTAAAGTAGACGATTATTTTTATGAAACGAATTTATTACAATCGTGGGTCGATCGAGAAAATAATGCCTACTGGACAGATCAAGATGAGAATTCTTTCCGAGCATCCTTCGAAAGCCAAGCAGATATTATGGAGTTTGCACTTATTTTCGTTAAGGTTAATGTTTTACATAAACTTTTTAAAGCAGTGGCATCTTATCCTATTGCCTGGGCCTCAACCAATCTTATATATGAAAATATTTACCCCCCAAAAAAATAATTCTCCCGAAGAAAAATATCAGAAGTCAACGCCGTATATATTGGGCTTCCTAATTCAAATTCGACTAGGTACCACGAAGCTAAACACGCCACTGCTTTGAAGATTTCAGAACTTCTAAAATTATGTCTGAATATTTTTGATTTTAAGTTTATTATGTAATATGATATTTCCGTTTTTAGGGAAATTCGAAAAAAAATCGAAAAACTAATAAGAATATTCAAAAGCAATGTAATTTAGCTACATTATAGTTTTCCAATTTTGCTTAAATTTTTTTTTTTATATTTGTTTTATATTAATAGCTATAATAAACTATTCTACAGTTAGATCCAGCCTATCGGAATGCAATTATTCAAAGAATTTTCAAAGAGAGAGAAAAAGAATATTGACATATTCGAGTCATTGTTTTTCCGAAAGTTCTATTTCAACCGGTTATTTTAAGTCTTTTATTGAAAAGTCTAACGTAACTCTCCTCACTGCTATTGAACACGAATCTGCTAAGTCAGCTCAACGTAGAACATCGAAAAAGTGTTGGCCGTCTTCTAGAGAAACTATATCCAAAATGTCTTTATGTTCCAATTGGATCAAAAACCAATCAGAAGGGAAACAACGATATCCAAATTGCATTTGTTCAAGTCGCCATTGTCCTTGTTGCCAACACAAAGAACCGCCGATGGAAATTCCTACTGAATCAGGCAGAAACAATAAAAAAGTCCATGTATCGAAAGAGTATTCAATCAAACATCATCAACCGATTGAAAAATCATTCTTTAAAAGTACAATGAATACTTTATATTTCGTATTTGTCACTCCCATTAAAACTTGCTATCAAGCATTATTTTATTTCTGGAAGTTTTGTAAGTTTTAATTAATTAATAAAAATATTGAAAAAACGAATTCTTTTGAAATACAATAGACCCCCTCTATAACACTGTTGATAATTCCGTGTTATATGAATTACATGTTGTACGAGTCACTTAGATTTTACAAATACGTGAGCCGTTCACAGCCCGGCACACGTATCTGTAAAATCTAAGTGACTCGTACAACATGGAATTNGGGCCGATTTTAAAGCCACAAACAGCCCCAGGACCCCAAAATTTTTGTAGTATACTTAGACAAATAGTGCGATCAAAACTACGTCAACCGTTTCGGTTGATCGAAGTTTTAAGACCCGATTATCGAAAATATGAGATAATTGTCCTAAATTTAAAATGTACCAAAATTGGATCAAAAACTTATCTGATTACTTGTCCCCTGTACTTCCGTAAACGTAATCCATAGCAAGTTTCACTTTAAACACAGTAAATCCGCAGAAACTCGCACAAAATTGAAAGCTTGATCAGACAAATCTTACCAACTCCGCTCTGGTCCGACTTTATATTTACCCAACGGGACATTTTTTTTTTTTTTTTCATTAGATGGTCATCACTTCCCCGTCAGGGGATCAGATTCATCCTTGTCCCACGAACGTACCACAAGGAAAACATTGCTTTAATACAATTGCAATCTTAACATACATGAAACTTAATAACAATAAAATAAGAAATACAACATTATTAAAAATATAAAATCTTGGGGGATTATTTTTTGACCGATCGCCATACCTTCCCTCTGTTATATTGCAATGTTAACTGAGCCGGGAAAAGCTGACAGTAAGTCGAACAATATAATGTGCTAAGCGTAAATATAGATTATTATTGGGTTCAATGAGAATTAAAGCAGAGTTATTAGAAAAGCTATACATCGACTTCTGCAATTTATCGGTACGATTAGAGAGAGGAAAAAATTTCTTGAAATTTAGCGTATAAAATGAGCTGTACTGTGTACCCCCTATAACACTGTTGATTATTCCGTTTTATATGAATTCCGTGTTATACGAGTCACTTAGATTTTACAAATACTTGAGCGGTTCACTGCCGGGCACACGTATTTGTAAAATCTAAGTGACTCGTACAACACGGAATTCATATAAAACGGAATAATCAACAGTGTTATAGGGGTGGGGTCGACTGTATTCTAAATAAGACATAATCATTACATTTATTTAGAAATCGTTATTTGAAGTCTAAAACTTCGGCACGCGCGAAATTTTTAAAAATAATTATGCTTGTTATATAGCAAGCTGAATGAAAAGGATTCGCCAATCTTCATCTAATGTATTTTTAAAATTTCTCCGTTATTACATTTTAAATGCAGTGAATAAATAATAAGAAAAAAAATTTTGTCATTAATCACGAATAATTTATTTTATAATCGATCGACAGATGGAGCTAGTATATTAGAAATTTTAAAGCTTTATTGGAAGAATTCAATCACAATATAATCAAATTTCGATTATAATTATTTTCAAAATTTTTTTCTTATTTGAAATATGTTTAAATTAATTACAGATTTTTTTTTCATTAGTGTTTAGATACAATTTTCTTTTTCATTTTTAACTGTTCAGTGTGGACAATAAAAAAAGAGGACCTTTTAAATGATTTCAATTAAAGAAATTTTCATTAAAATTTATTTTTCAATGAATTATTTATGACTTATTTTATGGTGGCTAACGAAATATATGCTATAAAGGGGGAGATAGTTCAAAAAGTTTGGAACACACCGGTTTAGATACTTTAAACACGTGAAGACAAAGGAAAGTTTATTCACAATTTCATTATTGGAAGTACCAAAAAACTGTCATCGATAGGTTTTACATATTTTAATAAGTATAAAAAGAAATAAACAACTTTAAACATTATCATAAAACGATCTTTTCATATCAAATCGCTCATTTAATACGAAACATTTATTGCTAATGAAATGCAACATGAGATACCTTCAGATAGGACATTCTATGGGAAACTGGCTCTTATTTAGATGTTAGATACGTGAAGAAAACCTGCAAAACTTCGTGTGGCTGGCCAATCAGTAAGGTTCGAGCCTACAACTAGTGTTTTTATCCACTCTACCATTTGGTATCTAAAAAAAACAACGTTAGATTTAATCGAATTTTCAATACACGTTTCTGTATAAACTATTATATACATTCTCTAAATTTCATTCATTTAGCAGATCTGGAATAAACGAGAAAACGCTGTCGTGAAATCGTATGCAACAGAACACGAAGATAGACAAAGTTCTGTGAAAAATTGTATGGCTTTTAATATGGTTAATACGTGAAAACCACAATAATCTGAATAAGATTCGATTCGGAATTCCTCGTAACAATCTACAGTGAGGGATTGTAGGATTGGTAGCATAAGGTAACGCAACACGTGGGCTATTTGCCAAGAGCAAACTTTCTGTGAGAAACTGGTCCTTATTTAGGTTGTTACACATGTGAAGAAAGCCAGGAAAACTCTACGTAAACAGACCGTTGGTGAGGCGCGAACCCGCAAATAATTACTAGTATTTTTTAACTAAACTTTTCTCTGGTTAAAATTTAAGGAAAAAAGGTTTTTTTTTGAGTTAAAGCGTAGCCACATAAAATATTAGTCGTCTTATATGATGGCCCATCTCTTAAGCACGATTAAGACGTTAGCCTATCGCTCTGTGGACCTAAAAATAGGCTGACCATACGTACCATTTTGAACAAGATTTTTTACCTTTTCTTTCTTTTTTGTTCTGTGGACAAATCCTTAATGAGCATGGACAAAAAGTCCTCTTAGTGTCCACGGAGCTAAAGGAACCAAAAATAAAAAAAAAAAAAAAACATTCTTTGTATAAAAGAAAATTTTAGAAAGATATTGCGAAGGAAAAAGTCTAACAATTCATATTGTGTTATATTCTGAAAAAATTCAATATCATATCATTTCCACATTATAAAAATACAGTGGGTGATCGACCCACTGTATTTTTAAATTTCATAATATGACGAAAAAGTAAAATTGAAAGCACCAACGGTCTAAATGTTAACGCTTGCATTGTATATTTGTATGGACTTATAGTATTGCACATACGCAAAATGGCCGCAGTGGCGTGTTTCTCATCCGGCGAGGAATAAACTTCTACGGACTAGTACAATATATAGCAACGTTGTTAGGAGTTCATACCATCCAAACTCAATTCAAAGGAATTTTGATGTTGATCAATAAATAGGAATTTACGGTATGTTTGCAATAATTTGTAAGGGGCGCAAAAATAGGACTCGCAGGCGCGAGTGAAATTAGCGGCGACGTTTCCAACATTCCATTCATAATACCTGTATATTTTGCACGTTTTAACTTATTAATACTAGTAGAGATTGAGAATTCTTTATCCAAAATTTCATAAACCGAAAAATATAAAATCCGAAATGTTTTTGAGTGAAGGTAAAAAGTTAGATTCCTTATATGCCTTAGTACTTCCCAATCTGTCTTGAGCAGCATCCATATTCTCGAAATCCAGCAGCTCATCAGTGACCACGTGGATAAAACCACTAAAAATTAGAGTTTTACGTGGTTTGCCGGGGTTTCTTCATGTTAATAAAACCTAAATAGGAGCCAGTTTTTCATAAAAGACCTCACTGGAGATATTCGCTTGGCAGATCGCTCATATTTCGCGTTGCCGTATATGAATAAAAAGGAATAAAAACCTGAAAATTCCGGGATACGCCACCAAAATTAAGCGTGAGTAAGTGACGTAAACACGATAATGCAAGCATTAAAAATGTAGTTCGTCTCCTGACATAGAGTTTTCCACTCTGTGAGCACCAATAGGTCTTTTTCGAGACAATTGTCGGCCGAAAGTTGAAGGACGGAGTCCGACATATCCGTACAGAACTCTTCTAAAAAGTTCCCGGGGTTGTTTCGATAGCCTATACTCTACCCATCTCATCCAGAGTTGGCAGACTGACTTCGTAAACACCCTCGTCATCTGGCATTCAAAATGGTGGCTTAATGGTCTATCTTCATTCTAAATTATGTATTATTTTTATATTTAATTCTTATATTATTAAACTACATAGGTATCATTTGTTTATTATTATTATATGTCGGGCTTAATTTATAAGTAATTAAAAAACAAAAATTAAAACAATATATTTATTTTTAAAACGATCAAAATTTTGTAAGAACTCCAGATAAATCTTTTCTCTGTAGGAATTTTTAGTTCAATTACATTTAATCACTGATATATTACTTGCTGAATTTTAACTGAATTTTGTTCGATCGTCTTTCATTACAAAAATTGGTTCTCACGACACAACTTTACAATGCAATCGTAGAATTGGTATGCGTGATACCTTGTGGCACCAGTCCTACAAAGAACCTAAGTGACGAATGTGTTCTTCGTTTCCTTTCAATTTCAGAAATCGCTTGATGATTCTGTAGGCAAACTGATAGCCATCGTCTTTGAAGCATCTTACGTAGACAGGTCCGATACCAGGTAACTTGTAAGCGCGCTTCAAATTCCTCGGCTGACCCACCCTGAAAGCCGAGGAATACCTTTTTATTTTTTTTGTGTNTTAATTAATTAATAAAAATATTGAAAAAACGAATTCTTTTGAAATACAATAGACCCCCTCTATAACACTGTTGATAATTCCGCGTTATATGAATTACATGTTGTACGAGTCACTTAGATTTTACAAATACGTGAGCCGTTCACAGCCCGGCACACGTATCTGTAAAATCTAAGTGACTCGTACAACATGGAATTCATATAACACGGAATTATCAACAGTGTTATAGGGGGGGTCTACTGTATTAACATATAATTTTTTTTTCTTTTAGAAAGAAAATTCTAATTTCAACAATTCATTCTGTCACATCGTTGTTAGATCGTAGCTTTAATTAAAAAGCAACTGAAGATTATTGATAAAAGTAAGTTTTTTTTTTTTTTTTTTTGGTGAATAAAGCAAATTATTTCTAGTCTTCATTTTTATTTTTAAATTTAATTTATTTACAATAAAAAAAAACACACACAAATATAGAAGTGAGATTTCATACTTTAAATGTTTTAAGTTTTTAAGAAGTTTTGTATAGATTTTGAAAAGCTTGTGTAAAATACGTTCCTGATAAAGAAATATATCCTCAAAATTGAAAATTTTAGAAACATAAAGGTAAAACAAACATCTTTATAAATATTCAGTAATTAATAATAGGAAAAATTCAACTTGATACATTTAATTGTTTCAATGATAAAGGTGGAGAGCACATTTTAAATTACATTAATTAAAAATTATAGCCCGGTATTGTGACGATGTCACAATCAATTGTTCGTTTGAATTTGAATATTTCCAATTCAAGTAAATTTTATAAAAGCAATTTTTTTTTCTCAAAAAGCGTTCATTCATCTATTTGTAGAAAAAGAAAATCCCCTGTTAAGTCAAAATGTTACAGGTATTTGGGAGTGTTAAGTAAAATCACTAGAATTCTTTAACGACACTATAATTGTAAGGTCTCACTCGGGTTTCACTTGTCAGATGCACATGTAAACGATTATGTTTGTGATTCGATTGCACCCAGGTAATACTATCAGAGTGTCTTTTCATCTCTACCCCACAGTATTTTATAAAAATATTGGTGGAACAACACTGGATTCAGAATTTTCAGTGTACTTGTTGCTTGGAATTTTCGAACGTAGGCATACTTATACGACGTAGACAAAACATTACGCACAGCTGACGAAGGCCACATCATCGGTCTGAGGAAAGCAGGATGGGCGTTTCGCCTAATTTTCCGTCATTTGGGTCGTTCTTACCTGACTGTGACGAGATGTTAGAAGCAGTGGATACGTTAAGGCACACAAAAGTAGGCAGACTCTGAATGCTCTAGAACTTGTCAGTGGCCGGGAGAACCGTTGAACACTACTAGTTAGTCGCGGGTTCGCACCTAACCAATAAGCTGGAGTTTCATCGGAGTTTCATCACAAGTGTAACAATAGAGGCCAGTTTTCTTCTTGGCAGATTGAGAAAATTCCAGGTCCTATCTTAAGTGTTGAGTTATTTTATTAATCCAAACGCCTTAGATTTACTACTAGGAGAGATTATTGTCTTATTGTAACACAAGAATGAACATATGCAAAGACGTCTTTGTCCATCATCCAGAGACAAGTAAAAGCCTCGCTACAGAATTATCTTATCATTGGCAGAGCAAACAAAGTTAATTGCATGCATGGGAACCTCTGTGCCTCCTGAAATTAACAATATCATCGTCTTCGATTGCATTAAAGGCATGACAGAAAAGCATTGATTGCTACTGACTGGCAGCACATCGTCTTTAATTTAACGACGAATCTCGATTCTGTTTGGGAACGGACGACCACCGTGTGAATGGAAGACCACTGGTGAGCTCTATTATTACGCCTTTGCTGCTGGCATGCTGACACCATATTCTGGTAATCGTCTTTAGTCTTCGAGAGACAGTGCCTACGTCAGAAGTTAGTTACTGATTGGATAAAGATTTGCTTACGACTGGATGCTACTCGGCTATACAATTGTATTAGAGATTATTCTCTATCTCGGGAAAGAATCTTCCGGAATAGAAATAGCGTTTTCGATCTTTTTTCCAAAGCGATCATTTAAAATTTTATTCAAGAACGTTACTGACTATATCGATTGTTGAACCATTCGATTTGTTGTTAATCCTAGCCGTTACTTCAAGTCATCCGTCTCTCAAAATATTTTTCGATAATTTCTAATTTCTTTTAACTAAGTACGAGCGCTTTTCTAATTCAGTTATTAAAATTTCTATTTGTTCAGAGCAACTTAGGGGCAAGACATTACAATCCGAAAAAAAAACAAAACAAAAACATGTCTTTGCCAAAACTACGTGCTTTCTTAGAACCTCCTGTTTTCTTTATCAATTACTCTATAATGAAAATTTTGCAATTTTATTGGTAAAATTCTGTGGCCCTACTGTATTGCACGAGCGAACCCAAATCTAGTCGAATCGTAACATCAACTGCAAAGACGAAATATAACCAGAATCATCTCCTTTGTCTTCGGAAGACGAGATTCGTCTCACACGTTGACGTCATTCGTCTCTGAAATAAGAGACGAGAGATAAGTGATCAGAATATGGCCCTTGGTCTGAGAAGCCATCTCTTATGACAGTCGGTCACTGCTATTAGTGATACAAAGGGCATTGGCGATACGTTCAGGAAATAACTTTCATGNGATTCTGTTATGTTATGTCATAGCTTAGGGCCATAAAAAGTCTAAGTCCAGCTCTGTATATATATATATATATATAGAATTGGACTTAGACTTTTTATGGCCCTAAGCTATGACATAACATAACAGAATCTGTCTTCCATCAAACAATGATACTATACAGTACTGTACATGTAAAAATATAAGAGATAAGTTGAAACAAAAGCCTATACGAAAGCTAAACCAACCCTAGCTGGATTTTTTTAGCTTTTGTACAAATTTGGCCCTATATAAATATAAATAACAAGGGGAGAGACAGAGAGAATTAGGTTATTTGAAATTTTAACATTAAAGAATTGTCTATAACTTGGCAATATGCTAAACTGTCAACGCAAAATAGAACTCTTAAAAGCCTCATGGTGGCTGCCATCTTGTTTTCTGGTGTATCGAGCACCGAAAAAGACGTTTGCAATTTGCTGGAATCACACTGTCAACAACAGGAAATTATCTGAGATTTTGAATATGCCCAATGATTTTTATTCGAAGCCGAAGATGGAATCGAAGTATCTGGCTTCCAGTCGTTATTCAATATCTAACGCGTGTATATTTTGCAAATCAGAGTCAGATTCGGCGTATCAGTGTTCATGTAAGACGAAATTTCTAGTGAGTACAGCGTGTAAATTGTAAGTACAGTACAATCGAAATTAGTCAAATCAAAAGTGTGCAATGGTAAATATTTTCTACTAATTGTATAGAACTATAGTGAATAGACTTTGCATTATTACACAAATGAAATCTGCTAATTATTACTTTAGCAATTGCTACATTTTGGATACGTGACATCAAAACTAGCTTTGCCATGCATTTCTTTGTCGACAGAATCGAAGGAGTCCTTCTTTCGCTAGTAAATAAATATAATGTAATATAATAAAAAATATATAATAATATATATATAAATAATAATAACATCTAAAAACAGAGAGACACACACATTCTATCAGCTATATAGAGTAGTAGTCAAAAGATCTCAAAACGTAGAAATTTCCAAAAAAAACTCGGAGGATCAAATTTGACACGATTCCAATACTTTCTCTTGTTTTGTATAGGTACAGTGCATAAGATCTACAAAGGTGAAATGGGACATTATTTTATAAACATTTTATTTTTAAATCATTAGGCTTGTATTATTAATATATTAAATTTTATCCAAATCGGTTCCTCGGTTTTTGAAATATTAATGGTCAAATTTGGCATTTTAACGTTACACTTGTGGCATAGCTCATATTAATATCTGGTAAAATACCAATAATGGTATTTTAATATTAATATTCACAGGATAATATAATCAAACGAAACAAAACATTTAATTGTTCTAAGCTTCTGCATTGGAGAAGGCCGTACACACGGAGAATTTTGGAGGTTTAATTCCGTCTATCTGAAAATAATTAAAAAATTAAATTAACAAATACTACTAAAATAACGCAAATATAACAATTATTATGTACACGTTTAGTTATTTCTTGGAAGTTGAAACTGGGACGTAGATGAAAGTTGAGTTGCAAGATTCTGGACAGACAGACACACGGACAAACTAACAAAATAAGTTAATAAAAAGCGTATAAAAAGAAATGCACCGGGTGAAATGGTGCCCAATAGGTAGTCCTATAAATGTTTCAGAACAAGAATTAATAAACAGCGAACTCTTCTAAGAGTAGCTTCAACATTTTACAGTAGACCCCCCCCTATAACGCGAGGATACGTTCCTCGTTATACGAATTTCGCGTTGTAGGAATCCTTGGGCTGTGATTGGCTCACGTATTTGACACGTGTGAAGTTTACGGACTACGGCTGTTTGAAAGGTTTTCTTCCATAAAATTAATCGATTCTAGACTAATTCGACTTAACATTTCCAAAACACGTATATTTTTTTGGAAATAATCCGTATAAACTACGCTATAAACAAAAAATTGTAGGATTACTTACCGAGTGTGCACCATTCGACATCGCCGTTGCTCAAGCTTGTTTTCGTCGCGGAACAGCGCAGCAAACTGCGGCCGCGATTTCAGATGTTATTTTTCTGCGAAAACTTCGTTAAACTTTGGAGACATCATTAATATAAATAATTTTAATCTCCGTTGAATAAGAAATGTTTCTTTCACAAGAAATGTATAAAATTACAGTACTGTATTAGACTTACGGTACCTAATTTACATACTGTACAGACGATAGT